TTTTTTTTTTCTCAATTATGAGCGCTCCTTCCTGTTTGTTTGTTTACTTTGTTAATAACATATATATGACAACGAAACGAAAACAACGTGTATGAGATACTTCCGAAGACAACTTCACGCGCTTCCCATATGGCACATTGGCATGTTGTTTCCCTTTCGAATTGCCTCGTGAGTAGATAATCCTGACGTGGGTGCGAGCGTGCGTTTCAACTCGCAGCATTTCTATCTACTGAAAGATGTTGTATAAACGTTTGCTTAATACATATCGTGGATTGTTAAATATGGTCGTATTAACGCCACGAGCGTATAATAAAGAGACGCGTCGCGCGATGATACTGTATCGCAATATCCTACTTTCCTATGGACAGATTTCATTCCATATATCACTAAAGATGTAGATTTGTATACTTTCGGAATCTTCGGAAGAACCTCGAGCCTGAAAGTTACCCTTATGCTAACGAAAATACTATGAGAGTCTTAAAGAAGATACGCGAGAAACGGACAATTAAAGACCAGTTATGAAACAAAATCATTTTGTAGACCGAGGTGATTAAATTATTCTTTGATCTCGAAGTATTTATATGTAGGATTTTCGTATCCATTGATCTGCATGTTTGCGACATGCCGCTCCTCTGGTGTAGCTGCTTGGTCGACTTCAATGAATCCCTGTTTAAACACACCATTACACCATGAAATTTGATTGAATTTGATTGATAAAACCGATCGGCATGAATACCAAACATTTTGATACAAATATCATTTAATAATAATGAGACATTTAGAATGGCATGTTTCAACGTACCTGACTGTGAGGGCTTCTTGCACTGCGCCTTTTGAATACTGCTACACCTACTACCGCTGCAGCCATGAGTGCGATCCCAGCGAACGCCAATGTGAAATACACTGATCGACTCTCCCTGTGGTATATCTCCCTTCTTACAGAGTAACCCTATAGTAGACAAAAAGAATAAAGACGTTGTAGTCTCTCGTCGTCGGTATAAAATTTTGTACCTACCGGTTCAGAGTGGGAAATGTCATGTGTCATGCTGTGAGCTGCCCTTACAAGTCCTTCACTGTGCATAGCTGCCACTGCGGATGGCTGTTCTGGCTGTTGCTGACTATCCTTGTTGTCATTTATCGAGTCGTTCTCTTCTTGCTGCGCCTGCTCTGTACGTAATTCGCCGCGTTCAGCTTTGCGTTGCTCCTTGCGCACTCGTTCCAATTGCCTTTGAT